GAAACTTATCCGAGTTCCTTGGCTCTGTGAGTGTTGAATAAGTTTCCGTACCTTTGTTGGTGTAATTTCTGTTGCACACTAACGTCCACACTTCATATTAAACTTACAACTTCAGCCTATACGAGAAAGTAGGAAAGAAATAGAAGTCGTTAATGCTAAAACGTTTTGGTCATTCTTAACATGGAAGCATTACAATCTCAGTGCCAGCCATTGCCTGTGTAGAGAATGTTGAGTTTGAATATAACACGAGGTTATAGATTGTTCTTGCTTTGCAGATTAAAAATCAACGTATCACGTCGGTTTAGAAGCGAAAGGATTGTATATGTTCTGGGGAACCACGTACAATAGCTAACTTATTTTTGCCAAAAGTGGATTGCTAGGTTTGTAACTGCAGCCCTTATCGTATACGAAGGTTATATGGCATCGAATGGCTGGATGTTTTCTGAACTGCGAATTCAGAACAATGTGGAAGACAACGTGAGTTTCTCAATCTATGGTACGCGTACCACTGATGGTACGCGAACTAAGTAAGAAAATCAAAAGATAACATTAACATAAATAAGTTTTCCTTGAACGCATTGGGTTAGTGGTACATTTAATGTGTTAAATTAGAAATAGTGGTACGCTAGCGAAAATGGTTGAGAACCCCTGGAGTTACTGTGGCAAATTTAATTTTGGTCTCTGTCGGTAGAATATTACTGTTTGCGTAATGTCAGATTTCATTACCTTACACAAAAGTTAGTACATAATTATAAATCTTTCGTTTGAAAATTTATTGATATTGTGTATATTTTACAATATGTAAGTTGATTTACTTAAATGTCTACTAAGAGTATCTGTTTAAATTCAATGAGAATCAAAAAATATGTTTTTCTTTGATTCACCGTTAGAAATTTTTAGTTGATTGAAACGAAAATCTTAATAAGGTGGGATTTTCATTTAGGAAAACACTTCCTATACAAAGCGCCAAGTTTTTGGAGATCCGTTATCCTAATTTATGAAATAGAAACAACAATGTTTTGTGAGATTTGAGGTTCTCACAGCGGTGAGTATGAAGATTTCTGTCTTCTGGGTTGTTGCGCTGTGTAGTCTGGTCGATGTTAACCAACGTTTCAGAGATCATACTGCCTCCGTTACCATATTTTTCTACCACGCACAATTTTGGAGAAATGCCCCATTGTATAAGATTTTGAACACCCCTGTGACATTCTCAAAATGGCAGACGATATTTTTTTTCTTGGTCGTCTCTCCACGCTGATCGTTTTCAGTATTTCGTATTTTTCTGCGACGAAAAATCGGGGCTGATTTTCTAAATGGTGAAATATAAATGACTTTCCGAGGGTTTTCTCCACAAAAGGATGTTTTTGTGTTTTAAGTTTTTCTGCGACACACAGTTTGAGACAAACGCTCATTTTTACAACTTTTTTCGACACCGCTGTATCTTATTTTCGAAGCAGAAAGAAGTCAATAATTTTCGTGGTTTCCTCTACAACAGGAATATTTTTTTCTTTCAATTTTGTATACGACTCCGCCGATGTGTAAATATTTTGTCTCCCTTAGGTCTAATTGTCAAATTGAAAAAAGAAGTCGACAATTTTTCCGCTTTTGTTTCTCCAAGAGGACGATTCTGTATATTCGAAAATTTTCTGTGACACGCCGTTTCTTGCTCTTTGAACACCCATTGCCTTAATTTTCGAACTAGAAGGGCAGTAATTTTTCCGGAGTTGTTTCTCGAAGACGAACTTTTTCGTCTTTGCCATTTTGTCCCGGGAGAAATGCATCGTTGTGAAAGTTTTTTTGTACACACTTGCCAAATTTCTTTAATTGAGAAAGTCGGTAATTTTTCGGGGATTGTTTCTTCAAGAGGATCTTTGTTTGTCTTTATCGTTTTTTTTACGACGTGTCACTTTGGAGGAACAGTGTCGGACGGACGGGCAGGCGGAATTTAACTATTACAAACTATATGCAGAGTGTTTCTGAAATACACGAAACCATTTTAGGGCCGTGATATGTGCATAGAACGAAGAGAAATATCCTTGAAAAAAGGGGTCCTTCGATGCTTCGTTTTCGAACTACGGCCAGTGAGACTACCCTCTGGATTTTTGTTTATGGAGCCATCTTAAAAGTTTTGTATATGCTACTGCGGAATTAATATAGCCTACAGAAAAAAAGAGATGGACGCGAGTAATTCTTAACATTGACTGGGACTTTTGAACGCCTGAGACGCGCAGCGCGCTGAGTAGATGCACACGGTCAACATTTTGAGCAAAACAGTAATCTGTAAAGCTTGAATCAGTGATGTGTAAACAAATATTCCTTGTGGAGGGTTTTTACCTGTTTTTCTTTAAAAATGAAACGTACAATATGTCAAAGACAAAACGTCAAGCACCCATATTTACCCAGACTTCGTTGTTCTTTTTGAGCGTAGAACACGCCCCTGAATTGGTGCCATGATTTCAGAAACTCTCTACATATATGCCTCTATTTAATATAGGCGTAATATCTGCAGTTTTGATCTGCTCTCTCGACAATATATTTCTGTCAGAAACAAATGGACATCAATACCTGTGATTTATGAATATAACTGTCTTGGAAAGGATGTACAGCGGTACTTCGTACTCTTGTCACAATAGTTACCATTAGCATAAACCGGAAAACGTGCATAATATGACATAAAATGGCAGAACGCAAACATTTTTGGATATTAACAGAAGGGCATTTTCAGCAGTATTCAGACATTAACATAAGCTTAAATAATAATATACAGTTTATATTGATTAATAATAAAACTGAGCTTTCATTAATTAAAATGACGAGTCTATAAATATTCTGTACGTTAGGATACTAGAAAGATATTTGAAAACAGAACGTCAAAACATAAGGGGATGCTGCGAAGTGATTATGTAACACTATAATTGTCATATATATGTGTAAGTGTAATTTAAAAATATAAATTCAGAACGATTTGCTATGAGAATTTATTTGTGTCGTACGAATTAAGAATAAAAAATTTATTGCAGTTTTGAGATAATTTAAAATGCACATTTATGCTGGTTCTATATCATGTATTTTTATGCTGGGTCGTAATAGGGAGCGATGATCCGAAATACCAGATGTGTGCATTTAATTGCTTGAAGTACGTCGACGAATTTTCCATAGACCATTCCTTCTGAGAACGTGTTTAAGCATAAAAGCGGACGGAACTGTACGCATGTTACGGTCATCAGACTGCAGCACAAAGACACAAAAGGAAAATACATCTAATAAATTCTTTAGAAATTTCCGCAAGTTTAAATAGGCTAATTGGGAACGATAGACATAGATAAAAAACTATATTTTTGAAGAAGTTAAGAATAGGCATTAGTCGGGGAATGCATGCTACCTTTCAGATCAGTCTTCTGTCTTCCCCTGTCCTATCTAAAAGCTTAAAAATTAAAGAATAAAATTCTTCGAAAACTATTGTTAGGGCGTTAAATTGAAGGAGGTTGAGATGGGCAGTAAAGGTAGCATACACATACAACACTTTACTGGGACAACCAGAAAGCATAAGGTCGTTTCCGCGACCTCGGCGTGTGCAGTTCATAAAATACATTGCGTTGCATATGGAAGGAGTAGCCTGTGAGGGTGTGGGCTGAGTTGACTTTTCACAGGATAGGACCTAGAGGCGGGTTCTTGTAAAGACTATAATGAATGTTGAGATTCCGCAAAAGGTGGTCAGTTTTTATTAATTTGTTAACCTACTGATCGACTTTCGGCACCTCATGAAGGACTGTTGCATGGGGTGAGTGTTTGTGTGTGTGTTTTTTTTCATCAGGTCACTGTGTCCTTCCATTCGTCGATATCAGGAGTGGAAAATCCCATGAAGCAAACAGTATTGACGTATGATCTGAAGCTTTATGGACAGTATTGAATCTACGCACAAAGACATTTCCTTGAGCTCCCCAAAATTCCCGCACTGGTACATTTATTATCACATTATTATCGTTATCGTTGCTGCTGCTACTGCCGTCATTATTATCATCATCATCATAATAGCAATATGATGATTTACTGCAGCCTAGTTGGATCACAACTTGAATACGCTTCATTTGCTTTCAATACTCTTACCAAGACTGACTCCAACAAATTTGAACGTATTCAGAAAGTTTTATACCATATATCATTAAAGAAAATTATAATGCTTTTGATTACAGTTACTTTTGAAAACAAAAAATTGAACACATCACATGAAAGACGGCGTTATTTTGATGTTTTAATCATAAGGAACGCAATTAATGGCTTCATTACTTGCCCCTTGCTATTGGAAACTGTTGGAAGTGTTCAAACAAAAACTTAAAGAAGCCCTAGTACTTCCTACACTTCATTTTCACTCAGGAAATGCCCTTCTGTTAATTACGCCATAGCTGCAAATGAGATGTGTAACAGAACTCTCGCCAACACGTTTGATAAACTTTTCAGCATAAATCTTTGGTTTAAATCTGTTAATCGATAATTACTATTTTAGGTACTTAAGCATTAGTATGTAACGTGAATTGGAATGTATTATTATGTTTATTGTCTTGTTTTGTTATCTCTCTATTAAATTTTCTTGTACTGGCGCAGTAATTGGCTCGTGCCACTGTTACGTCAGCAGTTTAAAATAAAGGAATTACTTCAGTTGAATTATTGATAGCGAAATCTAACCGTGTTATGACACTGCGGTAAAATTTATTACTTGTTCATATAACTGTACGCTGAATACTGTAAATATTTACAAGCGCAATAACTGTCACTCGATATTCGATTAACGTTAATATTACTTGATTGTCATCAAACGTAGCCACTTTGTACATAACCCGAAGAGCAGCAACTGAAAATGTGTATGTATTTTAATAACAACAGAAATTGATGTATGTGAAGTAGCAAAATAATGTGTCAACATTAATTATTATATACATTTGATATTTGGTTAGGATACAGATTGTAATTCTTGGTATTAATTGTTGTCGTTTGTTTTTCAGATAGTGATTTCAAAGAGAAATTGATTCGGAACGTGAAGAAAGAGGTAAGTCTGTTTATAAAGAGGAGGTCTTGTTTGTTAAACCGTATCTTTGCTTTATTTTTGTATGATCTCAAGAAATAAAGGCCCAGTGCTTTGTCATTCTACCGAATCCCTTCTTTTCAACAATGCACTCAGTTGACTATCACACTGTTGAATATTAACTAACTAACTAACTAACTAACTAACTAACTAACTAACTAACTAATTCACTTTTAGCCGAACCCGCAGGTCAAACACCGACAACACCAAAGCCCGTCACCGGATACGATCCCGAGTTAACTCCATCCACTTACCATCCTCACAGCCAACCTCCTTAAGATACATCTTGATATTACCCTTCTGCCTCGTTCTTGGTCTCCCCAGTGGTTGTTTTCCAGAAGGTTCCCCCACCAAAATTCTGCATGCACCCTTTGCCTTCCCCATGAATGCTACATGCTCAGCCCATCGGAACGTCCCATATTTCACTGTCCTCACTCTGACAGGTGACCTGTATAATTCACGCAATTCCTTGTTATTAAATATTCTAAATACGCCACTTGTTTTATCCTTTCTAGGTCCAAATATTTTCTTTAGCACCTTGTTTTTAAAGACTTGTAAATTAAGATTTGTGTCTTCTGGGTTGTTGCGCTGTGTAGTATGGTCAATGTGGTACATGCCGTCAGCCTCTAAACTAAATAATTAAACTGTCAGGGAAGTGGAATGGTTGCGTATTACTCTTCCGTTCATGATTGTGTTTTACCTAAAATGGTTTTCATCTTACTGTCTCATTTGAAAATAATGGAAATATGTACTCAAAAGAAGTATACATCGCATGAGAACCCGTCGTTCCAAAGCTGATTACACTGCATGGAGTAATACAGTTTAATTCCTTATAGTT